GTGTGTGTGTGTGTGTGTGTGAGAATGTGTGTGTATATTCTGAGATGAATGTAAGCTTTGAGAAGGGGGCTGAATTCCTTGTTGATTTCTTTCTCTTTTTTTATTTAATTTTGTAATGGACTTTGAAAATGAACTCTGGTGAACTCCTATGAAGAAGGGTGCATGTGTAAGTGAGCGTGTGCGTGCGTGCGTGTGAGACTGTCATGCGTGCGTGTCTCAGAGCCCCTCCTACAGTCTTGCAGCAGTGTATGTCTCCCTCTGGTGTTACTCCTCAGCATTTCATCCTTCAGACTGGAGCTTCCTCGCTGAGGAATTTCCAAGGGACTGCGTATAAAAAAAAAACCGAGAGGACCGAACACGAGGACTCGACGTCTGCCCTCGGCAGAGATCTAGAGCTAGAGAAATATGATGTTTGTGATATCTTGAGATTTCTATGTCCAGTTTTTACATGGTTTTGTCTGTTTCTACAGTCCTGTGAGAGTGCCACAGAGCAGTAACCCTAGTCTGTCTGTCCGTCTCTGTTGTCTTTAAAGATGTTTAACATAGAGCTAACACACACACACACACAAATACACACAGAGGACTCTGCATATGTAACTGATGCTCACTGCCTAATCTAATGTAGTGTTAAACCATAAGGGAACTCTCCCATAAGGCACTACATGGTGTCACACACACACAAACGTGCATCATGTATACATATAGGAAAAAGGCTGCACTAGCCTGATATTTTAATCCATTTTGTCATATCTTCTTCTCAATGACCTCTTAAAAAAAATACACTCCAAGGGCTTCTTTCCTGCAGTGGAGTGTGTGGACGGATGCGTTGGTGCGAGCGCGTGTCTTCAGTACTAATCCTAGTCCATCAGCTCCCTGTTTACTAGAACAAACAGCTCTCAGATTCCTTCGCTGTTGGACAGCCCGTAGCGTAGACTGACAGAAGATCAGCGTATCCCTGCGTCTGTACAAAAGAGAAAAAAAGCTGCTTTTATTTTCTAAACGGAGGCGAGTCTCTGCTCTCTCCTGAGAACAAATCTACAGTAGGAAAGGAAGCCTGGAAAGCCGGTTGTTAGAATATCACAGAGACGTCGCTGAGGTGTTTTAGGAGACTTAATCAGGGACAATAATTGTAGAGAGCTGAAGGGAGTGTAGGGTTGAACTGTGGATTAGAAAGAGAGCAGCAGCAGCAGACATATCTTAATCCGTAACTACATATCTCACTTTGCAAGCTCACCTGCAGTGTTTCACTATTCATATCTCAGTGAGCCAGACAGCTGAACAGTTACATGAGTGTGTCATTCTCATTTCAGCCATCATACTTTCTTTATTCTTTTTTAGTTTTTTTTTTTTAAAATCACTCCTGGGCTGCGAGTCAGAGCAGGAGAGGTGATTTTCATAAAGGTTTTCACCATTTCAGCTTCCTCCAGTGGAGGAGGGGTTTACACATACAGTAGGACACCGGTTCATCTTTGTTGTGGACGTGGTCGCAAGAGACGAGGCCGTCGACTGATTTAATGTCTGAGAGAGTGATTGTGTGGTGAAGATGTGAACGTTTTCCTTTTTTGATTGTGAGACAGAGGGAGGGTAACGATTGTTCTGAATTTTGCGGGGTGGGGGTTTGAAGTAAACTGACATGTCCAGGCTTCCACACTGAGCTGATCCAAATGTAGAAAATAAAGGCGAAAAAGGTTTACAGAACAATATGAGGAAAATGTTTATTTCTGCCTCTTTTTGTCTGCACACACTTTCACATTCATTCTTGACAACAGCAGTTTCTTTTTTCTTGTAAACAAACGTTAGGTTTACGTTCGGTGTTTCTCACCAAACAGCCGTCTGTGTGTATCCTCGAGGTCTGACAAATGTCTCATGCGTTTCCTTCCATGTGAATCATTTGTTTAAATGTTTCAAACCATGCACTGTTTACATCCATGTTTTCTGGCTTGTGGTCTTCTTCAGTCTGCCTCTGTTGGCACGTTGCTACATTACTTTGTGCAGTTTCTCAGTGGAAACCGGCGTGTTGGTGCAATATTCAAACAACACAGGGACCCACATGTAAAAACCAGAATTCAGTTAACAGACAGAGGAAGAGTTGGGCAACCACATGGTCATGGTGTGTCTGAAATGTGACCGCTGCTGCATGAAGCACCCATGGGTGTTAAAAGATCAGAATCTGTCTTATCTCTCCACAGAGAAAAGCACATTGCTTTAGAAGAGGTGAGTCTGGGCAGAAGCAAGATAAGTCTTGTGGGGAAATGGGACTCTTCTGTCTATTTAATAAACATGACAGTGCAGTGAAGGTAATCGAGTCGGGCTGCAGACTCACTGCATGTTTGGTGGAGAGTGGATTATTTCAAACTCCTTGACTTGATGTGTTGAATTATTCATTTGTCAAGATTAGACCCTCCGAGAGCGATCAGGAAGACATATAAGACAGCAGCGTTTTGCATACACACCTTTAACATAAAATTCTGCTTCTCTGCTTTTGTTTTCTCAAATCATCTGTGTAGTAAAAGAGATGCTGCTATAGGTTTCTCATTCTAGTTGAACATTTTTATCTCCAATACAAGATGCATTGGTCACAATGTACTCTGTGGTCAGACAGGCAGGAGAACCCAGATGTCAAAGAGTCAATCAGTTCCTCTGATTCTTCCTGCTCCACAATAAAGATGAATCTGCCCTGTAGATCCAAGAAGAGTCTTCTTCAAGGAGACACCTGTCTCGCTGAAGTGAGTGATTCTGCCGTTAAGGAGATTTAGAGCTGCGAGAGCTCAGGAAGACTCTGCTCTGGTTTATGTGCTGCAGACTTCAGAAGAACTATGTGGAGCCTTTGATCTGAAGAAATGGATCAAAGCCGAATCAGACTGCGGCCCGGAGGGAAGCTCCACGAAAAGACGGAATATTGAAGTGTGTTCAGAGGAACAGAGTGAATTTATAAACTTGGAATTGTGTCCATCTAATTTGGTTGTTTTTTATTTTGTTTTATTGATCCTTGTTTGTGAAAATGAGCCTTGATTTTATTATTAAGCTGCTGCGCTAAATCTATAATTTAGACTCCTCTTTGGCTGAGTGGAACTGGTCGTATGTTGAATGTTTTCTCACAAGGAAAGAAGTAAAATTATTACAATAATCAGCAGTTATTACTTCATAATACCAGTAAGTATTACCTAATAATAATATATATACACATCTACAAATGATGTATAGTATTATTGACAATAGTACTGATGCAATATATGTAAGAAGGAGAAGAAAGAAATGGGTCATGAAGAAAGTATTGCTTTGACTGAACTAATTTAGTTTTGACCTGTTCAAAGGAGGTTTTATCTTGTTTTACAGGCTGTTACATTAACCAGCAGGTTTTATAAGCCACAGAGCTCATTTTAAACTGAACCTGAGACAGCGGCCGGCAGCAGCATCGTCCATGTGGAGCTTTAACTGAGGTTAATAAGATGTATTATTTTCTGGTTGGTTTCTTTTTTCTTTCTAGGAATTGAATAAAGTCTCTATGGTTTTTTTTTTAACAATAAGATCTCCTTTGCTTTTTTGCAGATTATCAGTATGTGTGATCAGACTGTGGTTTAATTCGGCATGAGCTCTCAGGTAGGAAGGTTTTTCTGGACTTTGAGCTTTCACATCTAGTTGTAACACTGGTTACTCTTAGCGTTAACTATAAACTTGATAGTTACTGTATTAAAACTACCTTTGGGTCGTGGGTAAAGCAAGAGCACTGTTCCCAGAACATTTCAAACTGCAGTCTCATGCAGTCCACATAGTTTTTTTTTGTTCTGTAGCATAGTTTCTGCAGTACAACATTAGATATCCTACATTTTCTGGTGCCCCACATTCAGCACTGACGCTGTATATAGATCAAAAAGACTTGCCATTTGAGAATAAAGTACTTTAAATTTTAGTTGGGAACAACTTAATTATAAAACTAAAAATATTTAATGACTAATATCAGAAAAGCCTGAAAGTACTTCCACACGTATTTAACAACTTTGATTTGAACATTAGAAATATTTAATCTTGTGGCCAACGTGATTGTTGATTAGTTTACTGGGGACTTCATTTGAAAGGTGCCTGGTTTTACCGGCAGCCGTACTTTTTTTTTTAATGGATTTGATATTTATTCAGTCCATCTGTACACAGCCTCGCTGACACATTGACAATCTGTAAAGCCTTCACAGAACAGATGACACCGTCTGACTCAACACACACAAACACAGACGGAAGTGTTAACTTTTATTTATCCAGGCGGAGTTAGATTTTTTTTTTTCTCAGTTTGCAGCCGATTTTATATTCACACAGTTTAACATAATCCCACCTGGAAGCTTCCCAGTACAACCCAGTCCTCCAGACCAACCTGTTTGGTGTTTGTTATGACAGTGACAATGGCCACATTTCTCTTCAAACAAATAATCCCTGAACATTTGCCTGTTCAAATCTCTCACATTGGGATTGTTAGGAAAGAAAGTAAGCAAAGCAAGTTTAACAGTAGGGACAATAAGTGCGGTTTTCACTAGCATTATTAGCTAAGTTTTTATGTCCAGTCGGGGAAATTTATCAGACTGATAGAGTATCCTGCCCCAGCCACTTTATTCATAAATTATTTTCCCTTGTCAGTCACAATAATGTCATCTCCACCTCTGCTTGTGGTGAAATGTCACTGTATCCTGAACAGTGCAACACAAGTAGGGCACCACAACCTTATACTAACACTAAAAGGTATTTTCCATTTTATAAATTAATAAAACACCAAACAAATCCACTGCAGTTTAAATGATTTTTATTGTGTCAGTGCATATCCAGTAATAAAACAGTACCGAATTAAAATTACAGTAATTTAGTTAAACAGTAAAACTGTTGCTAAACCACACACTTGTTCCAACACAGAACACATCACAGCCCTCCCTCCCTCAGGCAGCTAACACAGTAGCCATGTTTGATCAATGTGTCACATTACACACACAATGCATCTCGTTTATTAAAGCTTTAAGCAATGTAAACTACTTTGTACTCTGTTCAGAAAAGTGCTCCGACTGTAGTTTAAGTATGGAGTGAGTAAGTGCAGGGGTTTATAAGGTGAGTCAAAAAAATATAAAGACATCCCTAACGGATTTAAGGTTTGGTCAAAAAACTACTGACGAGATCATGGGATGGGGATGACAGTCACAGTCTTGAAAGTTCTCACAGAAATACTCAGTCCATCTTGTCAATATCAAGATATTCTGAGTGTAAACGTGCTTCAATACTGACAGATCAGCCAAGCGTGTTAGAAATGAAAAGCTTACTTGCATGTATGTATGTGCACTCACAGTGTGTTTGAAAAACAAAAGGTTAAAAATAAATTAAAAATGTAAAAACAGAATCCCTCAGTAATCTTCTGATGACGGATTCAGACCAAATTCCCTGAAAGCAGGACATCTAATCTGATCCACAGATCCACGTCATCAGTCTAAACCTTGCAGCCAATAAAAAAAGAATAAACAGAGACTATGCTATGATTCAACTGTACAAAAAGTGAAACAGTGGTAACAAAGCCTGGTCCAGGTGAGCAGGAGTGTGAGTCTTTGTCAAAGCAGATATCTAGTGTTGCAAACTATGACTGAAATGTGAATAACACATTCAACTATAAAGCAGTCATCAACTCCTTCTCTTGGGCCAGGCAGTGAGAACTTCTATGTTCAGTTCATCTTCACACAAACCAGCCTTCACTACAAACTCTACTTGAGCCTCCATGAGGAGAGAGGTAGGGAGTACAATTACTGCAAGACCACATACCGTAGCTTACGGCCGGGGTGTGCAGGGTGGAAATCGGGGGATTTGTAGATATAAAATATATCATCTTACAATTCACCACAAACTACACGATACAGTAGGTTTAGGCATTTTTAAACATTACAAAGTCAATTTAGGCACTGAGTACTGAGAGATGATGTGATTAGCATCAAGGTCTCCGCCATTCATAATCGTAAAGCCCAATGTGCAGTCGTTGGTCCGTGTTTGGGATCAGGATGAACGCTCGCATCTGTAGTTTTAGGGTCTTGAGTGAGAGCAGCTGGTGCCATTTTGCTCAGAGAAACAGCTGTGGTAAGCAGACAGCATCACGGGTGACCAGCCCTTATGTCGCCATCTCTTCTTGGTCGGGGTGGGAGGGGTGGGCGCGCAGCCGACTCCTGGAGAGCCGGGCAGCTTAGGGAAAAGCCTTGAGGGAGGAGAGCGCTTCCCCTGAGGAATATCAGCCAATAGGAAACCAGATGGACATGTTCACAGGAACACACCCTCTTGCTCTCTCACTCACTGGTCTTCTTCAGGACAGAGGGGGTGGAGTCTGCGAAGTTCCTGAGAGCAACAAGCAAGAGGACAGTGACGGTATGGTTGAAAAAGAGTCTGAGGATTTTAATCAGCTTTCTGTTTCAGATTTGATCTTTACCTGATGGGGTGGAGCGGCCAGCTGGACTGCACCGGTGTTGGCAGTGCAGAGCTGGGGCTCATCAGCATGGCACTGTAGATGTTGGCTGCAACTACCAGGATGCAGAGGAGGATGGGCCCGATGATGGCGCCCTCCAGACCCAGATAGTACGCTCCTCCTGCCACCGCCAAACCTGTCAGATACGGATGGCCACCCCTGAGACACAAAGAAAACAGATCAACACAAAGACATACCTTGAAAATAAAACGTTTGACAAAATACAAAATTATGTAACATAAATGTACAGGTTTTTACATATTTTCCACACACATAATATAAATCGTGATGTATTTTTTTACATTACTCAAAGCACACCAACCATGCATAACATTAACAGTAGAGAGCAACTGAAACACTGCAATTAACCCAAATAGTGAACTCAATAACTGCGGGAAGTTTGTGTAGAATGAGCATTTTGGATGAGCAGATTATATCCTGTGAATATTGCATCAGAGATGAGTTTTCCTGATATTTTTAGCAATTTTCTCTACGTTCTCTCCGTATTATGTATTTTAAACAATCGCACATACTTAATATGCTTCTTTTTTTGACAAATTCAATGTTTTCTTCTCTTTGTTCTATTAGCTCTTTGGTTGATTTAACTGCGTACTTTTGTACAGCAGGCCAAGGCTGTTCAGCAGAGTGAAAGCTCTATGAATATATTTTGCATTGAGGTCTTCACAGTGCCCTTATCCTGTCAGATGTTTTTTTAAATATAAAAAATGTTTTCTTACACCCCTCAAAATCAAGAACACCTTGTGATCCCCAGTGATGTAGACCATTAACACATGCCTTTATAGCAGCTGTGAATTATTGGATTTTAGAATGACAAAGCAGCATCGCAGAGAGATTTGAAGTATGTCCCTGAATGCATCTGCATAACATAACTGCAATAAACATTATCTTTGATATAAAAAATATAAATGCAACTAATACATCTGTGTGGAAAGTGGATTTTAACAGCATCCATTTAATTGACTTTCACACACATACATGAGGATGGAGCCAAACCATAAATGCAAAGTTTGCTTTTGAAAATACCTAATAAGGTAAATGATATGTCATTGGAATTTACTGGACTGTAACAAGGAAAGCAATTTTACTAAATATGTTTTTCCTGTAGTCCGTTTCCTCTCACCTTAAGCTGATCCCAACTAATTCTTTTTGTGACACTAAATTATGAAATGAAGTACTAACCATGCAGAGCAGTGCTACAGGAAACACTACTCAGAGGGGAAACAGACTTCCACACATGGCCGAGATGCCAATAACAGCTGAGATGGAGCATTATCGGCCCGCTGTTGGGTGTTATTTTCCATCTCCAACAGCTGACAGTTTATGAAACTGACTGAGGCAAATGGACACACTGTTTGTACTTACATAGACAATACCATATTCGGATACCAACCAGGCGGTTGGTTTGTTGACATTCGTTGGTCAAATGTGTCAATGCAAACACACAAGCTGGTAACAACGGTGTCACGCACACATACCCCGATATGTCAGAGTAGATAGCTGTATCTACAAAATATGTTGGAAGCAAATGGAAGATCAGCAGCAGCACGGCCTTGACGCCTTCGCCCTGCACCAACCACAGGTCGCACACCGCCGGCACCGCTGCCCAGTAGGTCCCCAGGAACGGCACTGCACCCAGGATGGCAGCCAGGGCTTCGGTCCAGGAAAGAAGGATACAAAGAGTGAGAAAACACTGACTGTGGCTTGGCAGGTGCAGGTATAGTGACAGCCCGATCTGCTGCGAACACACTGACTCACCAGAAGGAATGAAGACAATGTTGATGCCAAAGATGGTGTGAGTGAGCCAAGTATAGAGGCCGTAGAAGCCAGCCATTTTCAGAGAGGCATCGAACACTCCTCTTTAAAACACACAAACACACACACAAGGTCAAAAATAATCATGAGATGTTAAGATTAAATGTCACTGCACCCTTGAGTTGAGTGTTTGTGTGTGTGACTACCTGATGGCCTCTTCTACAGACTGGCCAATGATATTTGAGGAGGGTCCAGGCTGAGAGAGGGGAGTTAGGCTGATGACCCATTTGACAGGTTTGTAGTATTCACCACTGGAGCTCAGAAGGTAGAAGAGCGTGGTCAGAAAAATCACCTGCGTATAAACATGTATGATGAGCAAGTTTGCTGATTCCATTAAAACTAATCGGCATATGTTTTGTTTGTAACTTCCAGATCTCCAAGTGAAAACTGATGATAAATAAAATTATAATCTGAACTATCTAGACCAAGAACACATTCTCTTTTTTTTAAGCAGATGAATAAAAATGCATGTAATGGCTATCATACAAGGTCCATCACCAACCATAAACACCAACCATACACTCAATAGATAGTTTACAGTGTTTATTACCAGACTCAGGACAAAGTTGAGCAGAGCCGTGCCGCTGTGGAATAAGACCGTGAGGGCTGTGGTCGTAGTGGAGAAGAGGAGGCCAACATTTCTACTCATTACCACCCACAGAGACTCCAGGATCTACAAAACAACAAGGCAACAATAAACATGTCATCCACAGGAAAACTGTACACCCCTTTGAGACACACAGTTGTAAATATGTCAACGATTTATGACCTTTGGTTGTTAAAACGACCACTGTAGGCCGACATGCAGCACTCATTCCAGCACCTTTCATCAAGATCTATTCACACATTCTCAGAAATATCAAGACAAACAAATGATGTCGCACCCTCGGGCATGAGCCAAACTTTTTGTGATATTGCAGGTCATGCATGTAAAACAAAACATATGTATACTCATACAGAGGAGAGTGTTAAACACACTCATACTTACAGACAGCAGAGTCTCAATATTTTCCTGCAGGAAGGAGGCGATGTCCTTCCAATCCAGGATGTCACCTAGCCAGCTATTCTGTCTCTGAACCAACTTCTGACCACGGTGGCGTCCTGGGTGGGTCATGTTCTGGAAAAAATGCATTAAATAGTTTGAGAGTATGACATTTCAAGGGGATAAACCTCTCATAAACATCAGGAATTAAATGGACTGGACCTCCACCGTCCTCACACTACCTTTACAAACCAGGACTGGTACAGTCTGTCCCAAAGCTCCAACACCTGTTTCTCAATCACGGCTGTGTGGTTCACCTTGTCTCCTAACATCTTATGTAGCTGCAAAAAAGAGGAAAGAGTCAATGCATAACATACTAATGAAGAATTCAGTGGAGAAATCAATGTGAAATATATAGACGGTAATTATTCTTACCTTTTGTGTTATGTATTCTCTACCGTGTTGATACACATTAGTAGCAGCTGAATTTAGAGCCTTCTGCACCACACGAGCCTCTGGAAGCCAACTAGAGTGCAACAACGTAAGAAAAAGAGAGAAAGTTGTTAAACAGATGAAAAATAATAATAAATAATAAAATAAAGTCTGAAAGAGAAATAGACAATAAAAAGAGAATAAACTGTCATACTTGGCCCATTCTGGATGGTTAGACACAGTCTCGTTGATGAGGTTACTGGTTACGTTGATGATGTGAACACTTTCGTGATGAACCTGGAAAGATAACAGTTACTCTGTTATCCAAGACGATGTCTCAGTACCCATGAACTGTGAAGTCATTTCAAGGAACAAAAAAAAAGTACCATAGCGGTGAGCAGCAGAGCCATGAGCAGGGTCCCTGTGACCAGGAGGAAGATGATGAAGATGCTGATGATTTTATCCAGAGATCGCTCCAGCCACACAATCATCTACGTATGTATAGAGGGGAGGAGGAGGAGGAGGAGGAGGACACAGATGGGGGAAAAAAACAGAGGGAGGAGATAAGAGTCAGTACAACTGTGAAGAGGTTGTCAACATACAGTGATCAGACACATGGAGAAACCTGTGTCCCTGTGTCCTTCCCATGTGAAGAAGCCGTTTTGGATCTAAAAGCTGCCCCCGTGGGCCCTGAGAACAGTAAGGTAGTCGGAGTGAACGAACAGCCAAGATATCTTTACACATGCATGCGCACATCCTTACACTTTAACATGGACACATGCAAGTGAAAAACTCAGGCTGTGTGCTTTTGAATGCATGACTCTTCAGTCTGTGTCTTTTATTCTAAAAGTGTCCATCAGTCTCTCAGGCAAAGTTCATTCTGTTGAAAGGTGGCGAAACTCTTAACTCAGGTTTCTCAATGCTCCAAAACTGCATTAACAGCCAACTTATGACAGTTTTAGTCTCCGTTTGTATGTGTGTGTTAATGTCACAAAAGCCATGTGTTAATATCAAGTAACTGGAGTCAATGGCAAGTTACTGGAAGAGGCTCTGTTAGTGGACACCTTCTTTCTCCCATAAGGCCATGAGATCATGGTTGTCATTATTATTATGACAGTTAAGTTATATTGCTGTAAAGGTCTTCTTACTGCCTTTCAGCTACACAATGTGCTATAGTCCTTAAATCTAGAATAAATGGTTTAATATTCTAGCTGTTATCTGTTGGACTCTTTTCTTGTCAGAGAAATATAGCCTTACCTTACAGAAAAATGATACTTGGCAAGCTAACTGATTAAATCCAATACAGCAAAAAACTGATTAACAAAAAAATGGAAACACCAACATCAGCAAAGACTATCATTTTGAAATAACATCAGAATCAGGCAAGTTACTGTAGTGCAGAGTACTATAATACAACACAAGACCACTAATGAAGTTTAGGCCACACATTCAGTGCAGTATTTACAAACACTGCATTTTAAATGCAGCAAGGGGGAAAAATCATGAATGAAGAACATAATTAATATTACAACCAATTATTTTCAGAAATCTGAACGCCTGAGTGAGATTTTAACTAAGGAACCCAGTGGACACGGTCAACAGACCTCTGGCTGTTAAAACACTGTGGTGCATCTGTAACCATGCCAGGGTTCAAGACCAATAATGCTGGCAGGTTTCTACACTCTCCTATTGTCAACAAATCTCATAACAAGACCAACAATATGTTAGTCCATCTCTCAATCATTTCCAACTTCCAAACTCTGTCTGTTGCACTCAGCCCCAACCTTTGTACCTACTGAAGACCTAAATCTTTAAAAACAGCTCACAAATGTAGTTTATGACTTCAAACAGCTGGGCACTGTAGTTTTTGTCAAATGTTACTCAAACAGGGGTAAATAATGTATTTATTGGGGACTATTTTTAGCCACAGATTCAGTGCAGTAGTTTAGTGAGTATTCATAAAAGCATCATGGTGAATATGGGATCAACTCAAAATACACTACAGTGCCCAGGTACATGCACCCAATGCATTCGTGTTGCTCTATAATGTGTTTTTAATAGTTTTTGAGTAACAATGGAGCTCTGTGGCACACAGACTAGATTTATTTACTGTTGGTTTTGGTCTTTTCATAAGATTTGTAAATAATAATAATAATAATAATAATAATAATAATAATAATAAAAAGGTAGAATATTACTTTGTTCTTTAAGCAAATCCCTTGTCTCTAAAAACTAGAGATTTATGAGGAAACGTCTAACATGCTAATACATGCAGTTCAGGCCTCATACGATAGCACCACAAGTTGTTCTTTAGGGCCATATTGACAAAGTGTTGGGTGTTTCCATTGTTTTGTCCATCCATAGTCCCATTCCCACCCATAAAAGCTCCTGAAGCGTAACCACATCTCTCCAAGGGTTCTCTCTGGGAGATGATGGGCAGCGTTTCTCTTACATCATTATTTAAACCATAGTTAACATCAGGCTTATCCACCAACACTGCCCTCTCCTCCCACTTAGCTCTGCTCTGTCTACATCAGCCATCTCTCCATGCAGCTCATACAAGCCAAAACCTGCCAATCAGACCACAGCAGGGGAAGATACGGACAGGGCTAAGGGGCCAAAGAGTCCCGCCTCCCCGAACGTAGCTTCCTGTCAAAATAAAAGCAGGAAGCAGGAAAGCAGGAACAAACTTATAAGACAGGATGAGAGGGTGATGACAGTGGATGGATAAAGTGCCAGTCCAAGCTACTACAAGGTGTGCTCACGCCTTTACAAACACACCCACATATATACAGGTTATATCTTCATCTCTCGCTTTCGCTCATACACACTATTTCTGTCAGTCTCTCTTTCTCTCAGCACTCTGCTACTCCAAGTCATTACCTGCTTGTTAAGCCAATGCCAGAGCTTGGGGAGGAGACAAAGAGACATTGGGAAGATTATTTTTGGAAAGATCTGTGCAGCAATCATCACATGTACCCGTGCGACAAGAACCCATCGTCTTCGGGCAATGGCAGTGTGGGATGAGGAAGTGAAGCGTGGCAGGCAGAATGTGACTACAGTGTCCAGTCTGTGGACTGGTTATACAGTGGGATGTGATTATAAACACTCACCTCACACACATCTTTTAGTGTAAAAGGTGTCAGCAATGAGGCCATTAGTGTCATTGCATGAAACCTTGCAACCAAGAAATGCAATTCATTTGACCTATCACTGCTTATGAGGTGCGCCACAGTTTTGTGTTGTTTTCAGTGAATCTTTTTGAAGTCCTGTTTGTGTTCCCTTTGTGTTGTGTGTCTGCCATTTGCTGCTGCACACGTAGTGTTCTTTCAGTTTATTGAAGCGTTTTTGCTAGAATCAGCCGCCTGCTGCCTCTTGAAACGACGCAGTGCAAGCAGTGAGAGTGTATCAAGAGTAAAGTTGCGGGCCAAAAACAGAAACAATGCTCTGAAAGAAGCTATAAAGCTCCACAAAGCTGAACTGTGGGATCATTTCGGTAATTCTATACATCTTTAATATAATTTGTGCAGCTTTAACGTTTGTTTTGACTACATTTAAGACTAATATGGTATCTGAAAAATAATTTTTTTCTTAATTATGGTGCAAAAAAAAGTTTTTTTTTTGTTTTGTTTTTTAACCTGAGCTCAGCTGTGTCCAAAATATGAATTAATACATGATTGTATATGTGTTTGTTTTTGAAGGAGATTACATTTACAAAAATATCCTTCTGTACTCATGTAGTCCTGAGGATCAGAAAAGGCACCTATCAGGACAAATGATAAAGAAAGAATTTCACACAATGACCCAACATGATCTTACACTTGTTAGTCAAGGAAATGTCCTAATTGCACACTTCAAACAATGTGAAGAATCCCTTCTTATTAAACAATTCAATACCTCTACATGCAGAACTTCAGAGTTGTTATATACTGCAGAGAATTTAATTTCTGCTGAATTATTTCAATACTTACAGAATATTTTATCCTCTAATCTTTGAACTGCAGATATCCAGCAGACCTGACCTTCAACAGACAGCCCTTGATGGCCTTTAATGTGGACAGTGATGGATATACCATATTGACGGTGTAAAAGAAGATGTGTGTGTTCCTGGATGAGGATGTGTGAAATCAAACATAAGGACAGCGCCGGCACCCGCGGCACCCGGAGATCGGTCAGAGACGTTACCTTAGTGTCGATACGCAGCAGGAACTGAGCCAAGCCTTTGATTGGTCCCGGCAGCAGGGCCTCTTCTCGCTCACGTCCAAGCTTCTCCAGCACCACCCACCACGAGGTGAGAGTCCGCTCCGCGAAGCCCTTCAGGCCAAAGTGGACCACCAGCTTCTTCAGCACCCACACTAAAGCATCAATGCAACATCAGTCTGAGTTCAGCACCATCTGAGAAGAAGCATGTGAAAGGGAGTGTGCATGTGTGTGTTACCAGCCACGGGGATAGGCAGCAGTTGTAGGATCCAGAGGTTGAGCCAGACCTGAACCAGTACAATGGCCCAGACCAGCAGAATAAAGTAGATATCACTGGCTCTGTGGGAGCTTTTCTCTCTCTGGAAGAGGCCGGCTGGTAATGAACGAGACCCCCGAGGGAACCCAGGCGTGGCAGGAAGGGGGCCCAGAGATTGTACCCCATCTTTAAAGGAGATAAGGGCACAGAGGAAGCATATAAGAGGAAGAGAAACACAGAATAAAGAAACAAGGAGGGACAGTGGTTTGGTTTACCAACCACAATGACTAAATTGTGAAGCCAGAACAGAAGTGTCTTGAGCTGCAGTTCCTCTAATCATGAGTCCGAAACATGTTGACTGTCTAGAATAAAAACTCTACTTTTTTTTTCTGCGACTTAATAGTGAATTTGACTACTTCTTATGTTCTTATGTGTATCTCTGTGTGAAACACTTAGGGCTTTTTGCTTTAGGAACCATTATAGCTGTTGACGGCTTATCCCAAATCTCCACCCACCTTACTCTAGTAAGATGGAAGCAAATCCAAAAACAAGGTCACAGAGTAACTACCTCCACGTTATATCACAGCTTACAAATTGTATCAAAATGAAAAATGAATCTTACCGGTAGTACAGTTTTCAGAGGGCTCACTTTTCACCTGAATGTTGCTACAGGAGATCGCCATGTAAATAGTGTTAGCAGCGAATGACAACACCTGCCCTGACAGCTCCCCTGCGGCGAGAGAGAGAGACAGAAGACAACAGTAACACAACAAGGCAGACGGGTACACTCCAGAGCAAAAAGCAACACACTCCTGTGTGTGTTTGTGTGTGCTAATGGTCTAATAGCTATAAACATGTCTGTTTGTCTATTGTTTAAGGGATCCAAGATAAATATAAGCTGATTTGCACATTTTGACTTTTAAAGCAATAGTTCAACATTTTGGGAAATACACTTATTTGCTTTATTACAAAGAAGAAGATTGATACCACCCTCTTGTCTGTACAGTTAATATAAAGCTACAGCCAGTAGCTTAGCATAAACACTGTAAACAGTGGGAAACAGGTAGCCTAGCTTTGTGTGAAGGTAACAAAAGCCACCTGTGCCAGCTACTCTAAAGCTCACAAATTAAGCTGATGGGGGGCAGAAGGGTAAATGCAAATGTGTGTGTGTGTGTGTGTGTGTGTGTGTGTCATAAATGTTCACCTCTGCCAGGGACAGGTGGTTTCTCTTGGGAGCCCACGATGATGAGGATAACCACAACCACAAATATGGGCACTCTCCACGAGCCGGCCAGAGACACTAAAAACAGATCCAGAAATCAGGATGATGAATATGTAGGTCTAATATGTAGGTTGACTGCCTGATATCTTATTACATTGCTGGATATTTCTTGGCAAAAATGTCGACTTCTGGTGCACTACTGCAGCTGAAACACATTCCTGGATAAGTTTTTCCATAAAACTATAAAACATATTAGGACCAAGTAATTACTGAGATAATATTGATCGTACGGTAACATTTTAATGCAGGCACACGCCAAAACGGAGAATAGTTTCTCAGATTTGCTCACAGCCATATAAAACCCTGCTACTTGCTCTCTCAGTCACTTTTAACATTTCACGCATGAAGGTCAACACCTTTTTTCAGCACGCCTTAAGTGTGCTATAAATACTGGAGACTTCCTCATCTTACGATGTAACTCTGCATGCGCTCAGTCTAATGGCCTAGTGGACCTGTAGAGACAGAGCCTTATCTTAACTAGAAAATGATTTCTGCCCCTCGCCTTTGGAAAAACACAGCGTTTATCGCCGTTCTCTGAACCCTGCTTAGAGCCACCTGCGTAAAGTTGAAGAAATATTCCCTGAGGCAAAGAGGAAGTTTGCATGAAAGTAAGAAAATGACAATTGACATGTCTAAGCAGGCTTCCCATTCTCCCCACACACACACTCACCGATGTAGAAGAGCAGGACGGCCCAGACAGGAAGAGCCAGAGCCCTGAGGTAGCGCTCTGTGTGAGGACTCCATTTGAAACAAACCGTCAAGAAGTAGCCAAAGACCACAGTGCACACCTGAGAGGCAAAATGATAAAAATACAAATAAATAGAGGGGATGTTATGGTGTTGATGCTTCGACATACTGTATTGTTTCAAAATCCACTTGCCTTGTTGCAGAATTTATTCATTTCCTAACTGAGTTTAAAGAATGTGGTCAGTGTTTGTGGTGTATACTCATAAAGAAGGGCTCAGCTATAATTCAATATCATTGTCCAATTCCAGCCGCTTGTATCAATCATTTTGTAATATCTTTTTATAGAAAATGTTGGTGTCCAAATTAATGATTGCAAGCTGAATTTAATTAGAAGCAAACACTGTTCGCGTCAGTATTTGACAACCTGGGAATGAGAACAGGCAGGAACAGAACCGGAGGAGCTAAGGTGGTTGCAAAACTCTTCAGTCCCCATCTAGAGCCAGTGTTTGGTTTGTTGGTTTGTTAGTTCCTACTAAACGTAACACGCTGCACCTTTAATTTATTAGTCGATCGACAGTTAATATTAGTCATCAGTCAGTCAAAGAAACACCTTTGGACACCTTTTTTCATTAATTAATCAAGAAAATAATCTGCATATTAACTCAATAATGTAAATAGTCACTAGCTGCTGTCTCAAATACATAACAGTTGAACACAGCTCATTGTACTGAACATAGCACAAACACATACCAGCCAACCAGCGCTCTGAAGATTAATGAAGAGATTAACTGTCAACAAAACCACATCAGACAGTAACTCAACTCTAAATGTCATCAGTGTAAAAAGACAAAACAACCTGAACTGTTGCACATTTCAACAACACTTAAGGACCTTGAAGCGATCAACCTGTACTTTTCAGTTGACCGACAGACTACAGAAGAAACTATCTGTCCGTTTGGTGAGAAAAGCATGAAATAAGAAGCTCCAGTCTGTAATCAGCTGGTCACAAAGGTCTCGGTTCCACACAAAGACGTCTTTTTCAATGTAATTTAATATAATGTCCTCCACCCTATTTACAGACAATGACCCTGTGTCAGTCTTTCTCTATCATTTAGAGAAAGGACAGGCTGTCTGTGGAGGAACATTTAATGCAATTTGAATCTAGTCAAAGCCAGGCTGGACTCGGGCCCCTGGAGCTGTTTTGGAATAATAAGGTATTGATCGACCAGACATTGGAATTGCAGGAAATTAGATCAGCCGAGATACAAGTTTAGACATATATTAAAAGAAAAATATTTTCCCCTTTGAGGTTAATGGAATAACACTTTATAAGATGCATTCAAAAGGAAACGTAATTCATACATTTTGCTGCTATTTGTCATTCTGCAACCCTTTTAATTCAGTTTTATACGTTTATCAGCTATTGATTATCATTAATGGAATTATGTTTGGGTGATCATATTATTCTGAACTCATTTTATGTTCATTTACTCCACTCCTTTTTCTCAGTTACTCATTTGAGCTATAAAAATGTTAAATAATAGTGATAAAGTCCAATCACAATTTTCAAAAATGTACGTTTTCCTATTTAAATTGTCTGTTTTAGACGACCAAAACCAAAATATATTTAATTTGCTATCATAGAAGAGCGAAAACCAGCAGATGTTCACAGTGGAGACTGGGAACCAGTGAACATTGGGCATTTTTACTCAAAAATACATATACAGCCTACATGCCAGAAAATCCATTTATCACTATTATTATTATCACTTGTGACTTTAAATGTTTAATTCTACTGTCATATTTAATTATTGTGTATTATTGTGTATTGTTGTGTGTTGTCCTAGATGCCAATGGTGAAATTACATTTTATGTAAATTTAATGTTAAGAATATAACAGTGGTTCTTTGCAGAAATGTTCTTTTTCATAAATTTTCCAAACAGTAATATAATCAATACTGAACGATATTCTTATTAATATTGTGATACTGTTTGTTAATATTACCCAGCTCCACTCTGAGCCCGTGTAGGATGACCCAGCTGACCCCAGTGGCATCCACACACAGAGGGTCTTCTGTCATCAGCACAGAGGGAGTGTACCCAGTTGTCACTGTCCATTCACTCACCCACACAGTGTGGAAACAGTCCAGCGCGGCCCCGATGATCCCACAGACGTGCTCGAGGATCACCTGCATGCCGATGACGCTCCAGAAAAGGTAGAGGAAGTAGACCAGCGGCGCCCCGGCCCCGATCACCAGCAGCACCGTGAGCCTCTCCAGAACCAGCTTGCCCATCGCCTCCACCCCGTAGTTCACACACCACACCGGGACCAGCAGGGTCCCCAGCAAGATGGGCGTCCCGGTCTCCTGCAGGCCGCTGAGCCAAGAGCGTCCGAGCCGGGCCAGCGAGTGCTTGAAGGGATGGAGGAAGGTGCCGCAGAGCACTGCCCACAGCAGCGGGCGGAGGAAGGCCTCCAGGATGAAGTAGACCAGGACAGCGGCTCCGCAGCAGATAGCCACGAAGATCATCGCCCCCGTGTTGTAGAAGGCCTGCTTGATGTTTTTGTCAAACTTGAGGGACGAGGGTTGGGTTAGCAGCTGGCTCACCATCCCGACGGCCGGCTGCACACTCTCGGAGAAAGAGACGAAGTGAGGCCGCTCACAGTGAGGGCTCTCCGGGGAAGAGACGGCGGCAGGCTCCGGCGCCGAGTCCTCCTCGTCTGCCATGTTCTCCGATTCCGCCTCAGTTATTACCCGTATTACCCCGACGGTCCCACCGCGTGAGGAAGGAAAACATGTGACGTAGCACTAACGAAATGCCCAAGCGCACTATGGGCAATGAAGTACCCTTAAAAAAACAAAAAAAAACACGCTTCCTGTAGTTTTTATTTTTATTTTCATATCATATAATTCTCAGTTTTCATGTTTATTTTGGTGTTTTGTTTGTTGTATAGTTATTACTATTTATTATTAATATTATTATTATTATTAATATTATTATTATTATTAATTGTTATTATTATTATTATTATTAATAATAATAATAATAATAATATAATAATGATGATGATAATAATATTTTTTTAATAATCATAGTGGCCATCAGAAGAACACGCGTCGTGTAGCCTATTTCATTTTTATTTTCATATCATTCTCAGTTTTTTGTTTATTTTGGTGTTTTGATTGTTGTTGTACAGTTATTACTATTCCTTATTAAATATTATTATTATTCATATTTCTGTCATTTGTTTTATTTTTTATTTTGTATTCTTGTAATCTTTTTATGTTTTGTTTACTGTTATTACTATTTCTTAATATCTTAATTAATTCGTTTTTTTTAAATATTTAATTTGATTAAACAAATAATTTATTTTAATGTTTGGTGCTGTATAATGTTTTAAATATATTATTAAAAATGTGTACTATTTTTCATGTCAGACTTTGGTGCCCCACAGTGGTAGTATTCAAAAAGGACATGGTGGAGGACAGCAATGCACATCATGTATGCCATTAGGACAATTTAAAAGACGCTATATCACTTTTTTTTTAAATACTGAGATCCTGCATCCTGCCGACTTTTATAGAAAAAAATGATTTTTTAAGAAATCTTTTAGAATAATGACTTAACAGCTGATTTAGAGTTGCATCCACTATTTAAAATTAAGATATATTTTATTAAATGGTCTTATTTCATATATAAATGTTACAAAAAATGTGAGCATGGAAGAAAGGTTAAATATATTATACTATGTTAATTTTATTTAATTCATAATTTATGGCATATGTGACTTTTTATATTTTACCTACACTAAAAAAATGTTTGTTGGAGACAAGACAAAAATTAAAATAGTTTTTAAATTCTAGTGCTTGGGGTAGTCACCCTGGAAGACTATTTCCACCTAAATTTAAAGAAGATTCTTTTTGTTGTTGTTGTGCATACTGTTTCTTTCTTTAAAATGTATTGACAATAAACACAACGATCGCAGATGTTTCAGTAGGAGGTTTTAACGTATCCATCCATTTTTAATACAGGTCAAAAGGCTACAATAACAGCATGGGGGGAAATTAGTCCATGTCCAAACAAACGTCTTTAGTCCACAGTTTGCTCCTGTTCAGTGTGTTATTGCTTGTGTAGGCAATAGTAACTCATGTAGCAGTCTCTCTCTGTCTGTTAAACACAGTCACACTGTGGTTGAGAAATGGGGAAAAGATCTTAAAAGGAAATTAGGAAACAGTGAGATGAGAAGAGTTTATGAGTGCCAAACATAAACATTAGAAAAAGTAATTCAAATCTTTCACATTGTAAACATACTGTAGACAATCCCTGGGAAACTATATTTTGTGATAGTCCGAACGATCAAATAAACCCTCTTTTTTGTCTTGTTTTTGCAAAGGATGACATCTATATAAACATAACAGGGTAAACGGACGGGAAGAGTGTGTGCAAACAGCTGTGAGCTGCTTCCTTTGTCCGAAGAAAACATTTGTGTTTAAGCCAAGTTCAACATGAGGCACTGTCTTCCCATCACCAGTGAACAGTGGGTTTTTGTAACCATCGCCAGATTTCCAGTGCATGCAGTATTTAGAAGACTTGTGAGGTTTATTTATTTGCATGTGTTTTTTTAAATACTTGGAAGCTATCATAAATACTCAGAATAACAGGCCTATTTATACTATAACACTACTCTTTTAACAGACCTCTTGTTTTGTACTGACACCAGTACATGACACCTCTACAATATAGGTTTAATACTGTCAAGATCCTCTGTATGATGTTCAGAGTAATGAATATATACTCTCTATCATGTTTAATATACCTAATACAGTGTCTCTTTGTGCAAAGCGCACACTTTAAAGTGGCATCAGACAAAATTTTTTATTGCTACTTCATCTTCTCTTCCCTGTTTTTTCCCACTATGAGTTCTGCTGCGTGTCATTATGGCGTTCCCATTAGTAAATAGAAGGTGAGGGCTACAATAAGCAGTAAGCAGAGGGGAGAATTGAAGGTCTGGTAAGCTGTAGAAGGCATGAAGATGTCCTCATACTTGTAGATACTGATCATGTGGTCGCTGACCGGACTGTCGATGTCATGCCTCGTAATGGAACCTGTTGAAAAAAGTAAGACGACGTAAGATGTCATGGAAGACCTAAAAAAAAGACAGCTGAATTGATGCTTAAGCTTGATCAATCACCTTGTATTGCAGGTCCCCATGCAAACAGGTAATACCATGACAGGTGTAAAGCCACAAGTGTTCTCTCTTGGGACGTATAACGGACGCTTGAACCGGCAGGTCACCCGGTTGCTCTCAAAAATGCCCTCTTCGTCCCGAGCCGGGTTCCTCTTTATTTCCTTTGCCCACTGGCCGACGTTGTAGAAGTGATGAATCCGCACACGTCCGTTGTCGTCATGGACACAGCCCATGACGTCGTCTCCTCCCTGAGAAAATAGGAGGGAGAATCTGATTCAAAATACAAAATATAGTAAGTAGGGACAGACAGGAATACAATATTGCTTCATGTATGGGAAACTCCAGTTTTCTGCCAAAGAACTGTCACACAATGAGGAGTTAGATGAGACTGGAGACATATTTTGACACAGCAACTGATACTCATTATAATGCACATCAGCGCTACATGTCAGTTTTCTATTTTAGTCCTGTAGGAATAGACAATATAGGAAATATAGACAACAATAAATGGAAAATCCTCTTTAATATTGATATACTCTGGTTCACCATATCAACTGGAAGACTGTCTATGTCCATCATTACAATAAACTGCATGTCAGCTGGATGTCTAACTCATCTTCAGCTAGGAGATAAGTTCATTCTTGAAAAAGGGACACCAGGTTTATACATAAATAGTGTATCATTAAATGTTCTATATACTTTACAGTATAAAGCTTTTTTTAAATGTATGCCAAACAGAAATGAAGAGCAGACAATAAACACATTTTAACAAATCAATGTGTTGGAGTTTAGATTATGGGCCTTACATTTTTTCTCAGCAGTGTCTTTATTGATTTTCACAACAACTTAACAGTTTTCTATTTATACCACACATACCAGCTATGTAGTAAAATCTCTACACAGACACAAAAGAATACAAGACGCATGAACAAAGGATTTAGTGAGAGGCAGTTTCCCCTAAAGGTTTCTTGACTTGGTGCCACAATCATGTTTCTTACAATGGGATTTTTCGTCTGCTCTTTTTAAGCTCACTGTTTAACAATACAAACATTTATTTGCAATGTTTCGGTACTAGACCTCCATCAGGCCAGCGGTTTATTATTATGTTCACGATGATGAACCATCCCACTCCTATGCACCTGGCCTCATGAAATAGATGTGTGGAATTGTGTCTATTTCCAACATTAGCCACATACAAGCAAATGGGAAGAGGTAAACTCAATAGGTGGCCCTCCATCTGCCTCCATAGGGGGGCATCCTCCTCTGTGAAACAGACCATCAGTATTCTCAACTGCCCAATAACACCAGAGAGGACTGCATCTCACTCCTCCATCACAGGGTATGGGCCTTACATTTGCAGTAACTTAGTCTGACACATAAAAGTACAATAAGCTGTTGTATAAAATACCACAAATATGCAATGTGTTGTCCCAGAATAAACGCAGGAATATCTTAACAAAGTCTCAACAGTCAGAGAGGTCAGCTGCAGCTACTCACCATTTTCTTGTCAGAGGAGAAACCTACGGCCACCCAGCCGTCTGTGTCCGCACTCATCTCATACTCCACATCTGTCCCGATGCGGCGATAACTCAGAAAGTAGTCACACGTCTCAGCATCACACCCTGGCTTCCCATATCTGAAAATAGACAAATAAATATAAACACTCACAGTCACTCAGTTTAAAGGCACTATACAGATCACTTTTTTAAATGAATTTCACCCAGGTTTCAGAGGACAGTGCTGGTGCAAGTTAGGGTCCAGTTTTCTTTAGTCAGACAACAGCATCTAGGATAAAGCAGCCCGGGGGAATACACTGGAGCTCTGAGAGTGAGAGCTGGCAAAAGATGCATCTTTCTCTAACCTTATGCAGCCTTTGGTTACTCCACAGTCGCTGACTTTGATCTTGGCAAAGGGATCCACTGGTGGGGCGGTGGGGAACGGATAACCTGCAAAATGCAAAATCAGCACTCTGTTGGTTCCACACACAAGACACTCAAAGGGCCAACTAGGGGGAGGCCATCTGCACTCTGTGTGTGTGTGTGAGTGAGGAAGAGGGGGGTGGGCAGCTACCATCGGGGAGCTGGCCCGGGTGCTGAAAGGCCTTGCACAGTGGACACAGGTTGGATGCAAGACAAAATAAACAGCTGATGTTCAGCATCTCCGCACAGTCTCTGATTATTACTCTTATGCTGTATGTCTGTATTGTGCTTGTGCGTAATGTTGTTAAGTTTGTTTATTGCGCACTACATGTAAACTAAATCCACCAACTGGTCACCTTCAGTAGCCAACAATGCACGTACCGTCATCGGACAGATATCTGGACTCCAGGAACTCGGAGGCGAAGGTGCTGTAGGAGTCCTTGTGCGGCTCCTGGTGTCCCGGCTCTCCGTGCTCCCCGTGACCGGCCCGGAGTGCTCCCTCGTCGGTGGGGCTCGGCGCGACCCCCCACCATCCGCTCTGGATCAGCAGCACCAGCAGCTGCACGAGCCTCCGCAGGAAAATCATGGCCAAATAACGTCAGCAAAGGGCAGCGATAATGAAAGAAAACGACTACACCAACTTGAAATCAAACCGGATCCTCATCTTTGTTTGAATTTCGGTATCTTCGCAGGTACCCATCGCAGCGTCACCAGAAATCATCTCGGCATCCTAATTGCCTGTTTGGTTGTTCATTGGCAGGGATGCGGGGGGGGATTCAGCGCCGATGAATGCGTGATTCTTAGGCTAATCCAACCCCCAAATTACCCAGATTTGTAACCTGATCGTCTAATTCAGCTACACGCCCATAATCCTCTTTGTTGTCCGAATCTAGATGCCTACTAGAGGTCATTAATCTTTACATATTTTTTCAGTCGGAGTATTGGCCGGATGAATGGTTTCGCCCGGCCTTCCTCTCTTCTTCCTCTCCAGTCAATCACAGTAACGTCCAATGAGGAGCCGCTACGTCCTGTTATCAGGATCAATCAATTGGGGATTAGGCCCCATAGTCACAGATAGAAAGAAAGGTATTTCCAAAGCAATTTTACACTCAGTAATTCGGAGATTTTGGGGGAAATGGATCGGATCCCATCAACAACAAAGAAGTCAGACTAACAAAATGATGAATAAACTCAGATAAATCAGAGCGAGATTATGATTGGTTGGAAATACTATTATTGTCATATAATATCCAAAGCCTGAATTTTAGTTGCACTGACACCAAATAGGTTGAAAAAAATACTTTGGATTCTTCATATCTTTCTTTTCTGTAGATTTTATCTTAAATATGTAATGGCTCTTTCCACACTGACAATAATAAAATACAGAAAAAATATTAATAATTGAATTATAAAATACTGAAAATGCTAAAAACCTAGAAAATACCCACCATGATTTTAATTGTTAATTTCTTTGCTTATATTATTTCTTACTATGAAAATCCCACAACAGTCTAATAGTGTGTGTATTTTTAAGAGTCTGAATCTAGATGCAATTTAAAAATGTATAGAGGATTGTGAGCGTGTCATTTATTTTATATTGTGCAACTCAGCTGTAATTTCTAAAACTGGTTCCTGTCCCTGTTTAGAAACACTAAAGGGGACCCTACTGGTGAATTTCTAAATTCATACACAGTTTGTAGACAGACATGATTGTGTGAATGGATGAAAATGCACCTTTTCTGCTAAACAAAAATGTATCTGTTCTCAGACACATCCTTGAACTCTTACTCCATCCTGTCTTTTTCCGTGGTTGTACACAGTTCTGCCACTTGATGGTGATATAAAGCCACAGTTTGAACTTCAGGTTAAGGTGGTTTATAGGGAGCTTCTTCTTGGGCTCTTTTTCACTTTTACTTTTCTTCAATTTGTACCAGATAACTCAATTAACTGGTGAAGTGCAGTATGTAATATCTTGGATTTGGACTGTGGATTAAATAAACAACTCTTCAACTCTTTTATTTTACCTTCTCACAGTGAAGCAACAAAGTTTTACCTACATACTTGTAAAGACTTCAACTGGCCAGCTGATGAAATCCTGGTAAATTATGAGTGTACTATTTATTCTCCACAGTTCAGAGATACAGTAGAAATCTGTAGCATCTGTCACCATTTGATACATTACTACTTTGCCCTTTGTAGAAATAATGACTCATGAAGACAAACAAGGGTGGCAGTGAAATGAATATTTTTACACTTGATCTGTGTTCAGTCGTCATCATTCCCTAATTTCCTCAATATTTTGATATTTCATGAGTCAGTCCATTGGGTTTAAAAGTTTAACACTGCACAGAACATCTTGAAGGAATTTATATTAATTTATTTAATCATAATGACGGCAGTGATACCTAAATGTAATATTTAATTGGTTTTGTAACAGACAGACAACCATATTTAATAAATTATTGCACACCTTTATTTACATATAAAGCAAGTTAGATCTGATGGTTTTGTTAAATTAATACAATGGCCTACATTTATTAATTATATAACATAACCAGTCGCTTTAATTGTTTACTTTTGTTCAATATTTGGCCAAAAAGTTACCAAAGTGTCAATATATATAATACCGGGAGTTTCAGCAGATGAGGGATCCACGAATAAAACTGAGACACTTTGCTGTTCACATCCGTATCCTGTAGGTGATGCTGTTGTTACACAATCTGAAACAAACTAAATAAGTAAACAATGACTGTCAGAGAGATTAAAGGCTGACTGACATCCATAATCACACACACACGGACATATACACACACACACACACACACACAAATACACAGTAAGTATTTTGTTGAAAAATCCAAAACGCATGAAGTTGTTATAAGTTATAATACAAATAATAATACATTAATAACATTATTATAACACCCATAACAATATAAACCTGTGATCACTTTTTCACTCAGTTCCAACATGTGTGTTTTTACGTGTGCATCCACACATTTTAATTTTACACTGGGCGGCTGTTTGCAGGTCTGAAGAGCATCCAGTCATCCATGTAAAACACCTGTGTTTTTTGTATCACGCTTGTGCACATACGTGTGTGTACATACAAGAGTGTGCGACCTTTAACCCTTCCTCTCTTCACACCGTCTCTCTCTACAGACACAAATCAACCTGATCAATCGCTCCTCTTGTTCTCGATCCGCCCAATTATCCCTCGCTTATCCTCCTATTATTTCCACTTCTACCTCGACCCTCTCTCCCTCTCTCTCTCTCTCTCCTTCCCAATTACCATTCTGTGTAGGGGGCAATGCTTGCTGGGTAATGAGGGACTCTGGGCGTACCAATCTTATCTTAATAGCCTTAAAGGGCCACTCATTAAGACAAACACTCACTCTGTCTCTCTCTCTCA